CAGAAAAAATGAGAAAAAACGGTGAAAAAACGGTGAAAAAATGGCAAAAAATGAGCCCAAAATGGCCCAAAATTGTCCCAAAAATTGGACAAAGCGAGCCCAGAAAGGACCAGGCAGATAGGTCAGAGTTTGGGAATTTTGGGGAATTTTTGGAATTTTTGGGGGAAAAAACAGAAAAAATGAGAAAAAACGGTGAAAAAATGGTGAAAAAATGGTGAAAAACTGGCCCAAAATGAGCCCAAAATGAGCCCAGAATGGGTCAAGATGAGAGGTGAGAGTTTGGGAATTTTGGGGAATTTTTGGGGGGAAAACCAGAAAAAATGAGAAAAAACGGTGAAAAAACGGTGAAAAATGGCGGAAAAATGGCCAAAAATGAGCCCAAAATGGCCCAAAATGAGCCCAAAATAGTCCCAAAAATGGGACAAAACGAAAGGTGAGAGTTTGGGAATTTTGGGGAATTTTTGGAATTTTTTGGGGGAAAATCCAGAAAAAAAGAGAAAAAATGGTGAAAAAAATGGTGAGAAAATGGCCCAAAATTGTTCCAAAAATGGGACAAAATGAGCCCAGAATGGGCCAAAATAAAATGTGAGAGTTTGGGAATTTTTGGGAATTTTTGGGATTTTTTTGGGAATTTTTTGGGGGGGAAAATGGCCAAAAACGGTGAAAAAACGGTGAAAAAATGGTCAAAAATGAGCTCAAAATGACCCAAAATGACCCCAAAAATGGGACAAAAAGAGACCAAAAATGGGACACAATGAAATGTGAGAATTTGTGTATTTTTGGGAATTTTTTGGAAGTTTTTGGGGAATTTTTTGGGTGGAAAAATGGTGAAAAATGGCCCAAAAAAGTGATAAAAATGTCCAAAAATGATCAAAAATGGCCCCAAAATTGTCCAAAATTGGATCAAATGAGCCCAGAATGAAAGTTGAGAATTTTGGAATTTTTGGGGGATTTTTTGGGATTTTTTTTGGGAAAAAAGTGAGAAATTGCTAAAAAAATGGAAAAATGGATTTTGCCATTTTTGGGGAGGTTTTTGCCAAATTTTGGGTGGATTTTGGTGAATTTTGGGTCAATTTTGGTGAATTTTGGGTCGATTTTGCCAAATTTTGGTGTTTTTTAAGTGAATTCTGGATTTTGGCTAATTTTGGGTCGTTTTGTCCAATTTTTGAGTGATTTTGATGAATTTTGGGTATTTTCTTCTAATTTCTGAGAGATTTTGGTGAATTTTGGGAGGATTTTACCATTTTTTTGGTCGATTTCTCTGAATTTTGGCT